AGATATGCAAATATTATATCGTATCCGTAAGGGTCTTTGTTGGGTTGTTAGTTCGAAATGAATAATCTTTAATCTCATCCTTGAGTGTAGTGAGATCGCAAGCAAGTTGTGGCGAGCGGTTCGAAAGTAAAAAAGGTATCTTAAAATAACTAGCAGTGAAAGATTCTCTGGGTGCGGAAAAGGCTGATATTTTTGGCTTTAAGTTTTACCGTTAATCATCAATTAAAAATTAGAAATTAAACCGCCATCTCCTTTTTGACAAAAACTCCTTGGGATGGGTGTAAAGTCTCCCCTCTTTGAGTTAGGCTTAAACTTCGCACAGCATTTGTACGCTTGCAACAAGGCATTCCAGAATTGACATTACAAATTAACTTAAATCCGTCTCGATAATTGGAACTCTGTAAGGCATATAACAAGGGGTTGAAGAAAGAGTTTGAAAACAGTAAAACCCGAGAGGTTCTGTGAAGTTCAAACAAAACATCGTAGTTCTCCTCGACAGTTTTTCTGTCGGCCGATACCAAGAAAATGAAATATACGGAGAATGGCAGCGAGCACGCAGCAAAGACGATTGCCAACCAAATTACTAGACGAGCTAATTGTTTCTTCGCTTTCCTTTCTTCAACATTGCATGTCGATTCCGAGCAAATTGTTCTGGTGAAGTACAATCCACGAATGATTTCAAAATAACAGAAGATGAGTATCGAGGAACTCATGAGGCCAAACCCAGAACAGGTGAAGATGATGAAGGGTTTGTGAAGGAAATACTCATCCAAACTCCAGGGGCGCTTGCAAGGATATTTGGTTGACGAGATGTTGTATGTATTGGCTTGAATATCTGGTATGCACGATAGTAGAGCTAACAGCCACAGAACTGCTATAACATATTTCACAGATTCTTTAGTCAGCTTTGCAGTGCGAAACGGTTTCACAAGCGCCATATATCTCTCTACGGCGATGGTAGAGACTGTAAGTACGCCTGCGTTCATGGTTATAGGAACAATAGCATTTCCCACAAACAACTTGCAGATCAAGTCTCCGGTGATACCCTGTAGATGAACTTTCGTTATGGCAAAATCGTACAAACCGGGACAGAGTAACAATGTGATCAGGTCGGCCACAGCCAAATTCATCAGCAGATAGTTTGTAGTTGTGTGCATTGAAGAGTTTTTCCACACAATTGTTATAATGATGGAGTTTCCTACAATACCTGGAAGAACGATCAGCGAGTAAATCACCGCAAAAACGATGTCCGCTGTGGTTAAGGGACCATCAGCTTCAGAGCTAGACAAGCTTGCGTTGATCATTTATCCACGTGGTTGGATCTCTTAATTAGAAAACCACGAAAGCTGTTTTCGAACTCGCGATTCTAAGCTTTTTGGAAAAGCGTCTTCCCTCTCCTGTTTTCAGCTGAAAAAATGATGAAGGAGACCTTATCATTTTACTGAATATTCGGTACTTTAGTGAAAACACTGCTGTTGGCTTGTCAGGCCAAAAGTCGACAGCCTTCAAGTTGTTGTTTACATATACGAGTTGAATGCAGGTTAAAATGTAAATTTCTCGCCGAAAACGAAATGCTAAGTGTTACGTTGCAGCCGGATATATTTAAACTAATGATTGATCATCAGTTCGGAATAACCTCACAAAGAAGTTTCCTCATTTTATCTTCGGTCTTTAATTGTTTGAAGTCATGAATAACAAATATTGAGTTTCGTGCCGATATTGGAGCATATGGGCGATTTGTTTCATGAATTAATGCATACAGACACATTTAAAGATTTCAGTTGCCTCACGTCCAAAATTTTTTGCCAAGAGGCACCATAAATACGATCAGAATATCTACAAAAAAAGTTTTCTTTATCATTGAAATGAACAGTTAAGCCTTATCACGCGTTCGAGTACGGCGTAGTAACAAAGCTTCTATTATAGAACAAAAGCGAGGTATACAGCTCCGTTGTACTCGTTATATTTTAAGCAACGGTGTAAATTGTCTTTTGAAAGGCATAAAACAATAATGGTCGATTGCACTGAGTTTCTTCAGCTGTATACCCAAAGAGCTCTCGTGACGCCTGATGAGTATTTGTCCATAAAATTTTATTAACGAAAAAAATTTAACTGGATCTTTATCCGTAAACAAAACACGAGCATGTACTGGAGAAGACTTAAAAAAGGAAAGGCAAACTAAAAGAAAATTAAACGAAGAGAAAGTGGAATATCTAGCGTACTGGTTGCAATACGCAAAAAAAAAAAAAAAAAAATAACCGGAATATGCTAATTGAATTCGGAAAGCGGGTTCCAAGAGACAGGTCTTGGATATACAGATGAGATTTTAAAAGCAGTCTGAAGGAAGTGTCATGGTTAAAGACAGTGAAAACCCATAAAATCTGCAGGTGGCTTGCTATTACTGGTTTGTGTCTGATTTGAATACAAACATCAAGAGACGCAGAGGAATACCCATATCGGAAAAACATTACGCTTGGCACCATTTCGATAGCAACGCAAAACGATAATAAAAAATATACCATTTATTCATAAATATATATTCATTGTTTTTAAACAAATTTAATTTAGTTTAGCCTTCCATCGCCAGATTTTGTACAAAAGACGTTTATCATACCTTTCTGACTCGGCGGGATGTATATCTTAAGAGACGAGTTGGCGTGTTGAATCACAGGGTGTTCTTACGAGTTGTGTTTATTTCGATAGAAACTTATCGAAGCAACCAACCAGCATGACGAAAAATATCACAAGGAGCTAATGGGAACTCCAATAAGAAAACACGAGTAGCAAAGCCATGATTGGTTTTAGTTCTGAATCTGATTTGTAAATAAGGGCAAGGGAACTACCACCGGAGTCAATGAAAACTTAGTTAAGCGAGGAAACTACTCATGGCGCGGGAAAACACGAGTTGTCAAGAGGTGATTGATTTTCAGTTTTGTATCTGATTGGTTGAAAAGGTGAGATTTTTCAGGACCAATCATTAAGCGTAGTAAAGCAAAACCAAACTGTTCCCAGATTACTTTCGACTCTCAATTGAAAATTGTACCAAACAAAGTGTCAACGAGAGAATTGTGTCAAATTCCCACGACTAACCAAAAGAGAAATTTACGGTCATCGGTTAGGAGAAACAGTTTGTAGATCTTACAGGTGAAAAGGCTTTGAGGAACCTTTAACACCTGCTTTCTGAAGAGCAAATGTTCCGTTATTGGACGTTATTTTTTTAATTATCATGTCAGGGGACCTGAACTCATCTGTTAAAAGCGCATTTTACCGGCCATTAACACTTAAAACTATTTGTTCTAGGCTAGATTAAACTTTTGAAATTGAAAGTGGGAGTTTCTGAAATTAGCTTTTTTTTTTAATTCACCTGTCAGCTACTTTACTTGAATTTATACCACACGTTTGCATTTCACTTTAAATATGGCATGTTCAGCCGAGTTCTGATGAAGTATTTCAAATTAATAACTCATGGTAACTTTCCAATCCTGAAAATACAAATAGGGACAAAATTTATAGACAATCGACTGAAAAACACCTGACGTAATTCAATACTAACGTCATTTGACTTCAAATTTCCGAAATGATACCCACCTTTAGTTGTTTTCGTTGTCAGTTATATTTGTCAAGACATCGTATGTTATCGCATCATACTCTATGAGTGGTTGCTTCAGGTTTTTAGTTTTTCCTTTCAGAACCCTTCAACACAGCCATTCCGTTGATTTCCGGCAATTATTTAAACCTTCTTTACGCTTTTACAATGATATAGAGACAGAGCATTTTACCTCTTCAAAGCATTAATTTACAACTTTGAATGGTGTCTTGATGAAATATTTATTACGTTATTTTCACTCCGGAAACCCTATTTCATCACCTGCGTCGCAGCAAAGGGAAGACAAACCTCATTGGTCTCAAGTTTAATGAAGCGGTAATTTGCATGTTCCACACTTTATTTGGCCGACTCAAAGAGCATCGCATGCGGTGGTATTATATTTGCCTATCTTTTTCTCTCGCATTCATCATGTGAAAGCCATCGTTGCGGATCTAAGTAAGCCGATAGCGATCTTGCTACAATTCGATGGATTAGGTAAAATCTAGTTCTTAGTATTGGAGTCTCATTTATTGTTAGAAAGACTGAGACAGCTGCGTTCGATCAGAAATGCTTGGAAGTAATAACACGAGTACGGCGCTGAGAAATTCTACCGAAGCAACGATTTCAACTCAAGATGTAGTTTTCGCCTCCTTGTACTCATTGATAGTTCTCTTTGGAGTGATAGGAAACTCAATCGTGATCACTATAATACGCAAAACCAAATTAAGTCACACAACAACAAACTATCTGCTAATGAACTTAGCTTTGGCAGACTTGTTAACGTTGTTGTTTTGCCCCGGATTGTACGACTATGCGCTTCAGAACGTTCATTTACATGGATTCTCGGGAGATTTGATCTGCAAGCTGTTTGCGGGAAATGCTATCGTTCCAATCACCATCAACGCAGCCGTTCTTACGGTCTGCACGATTGCTGTGGAAAGGTATCTGGCGCTTCTCAAACCTTTCCACTCTAATTTGAGAATCAACGAGGATCGGGTTAAATATTTCATATCTGGACTGTGGTTGCTAAGCTTGTTGTCGTGCATTCCAGATATTCAAGCCAATACGTACAACTCCACTTCGTCTTATTCAAAATATCCTTGCAAACGCCCTTGGAGTTTAGATGAATACGCTTTTCACAAACCCTTTATCATCTTTACGTGTGTTGGATATGGTGCAGTGAGTTTTATCGTCCTACTTTTCTGCTACTTTGAAATCATCCGTGGCTTATACTTCACGAAAACAATTTGCTCCGAGTCGTCTGCAACGGGAAGCCGTGAAAAACTAGAAAAGAAACGACTGGCTAAACTTCTCATTTGGCTCACCATCATTTTCGCCCTCTGTTCGTTGCCATTTGCGGTATTTTTCATATTTTTAATCTCCTCTAAACAAGCATTCGTCCAGGATAATTACAATACACTCCATCTACTTCACAGACTATGTCGCCTCTGTCTTTTTTCGAACTCCTTTTTCAATCCATTACTTTATGCTTTGCAAAGCACCAACTTTAGGGACGGTTTCAAGAAAATCTTCGAGAGCTGCATGCTCTTTAGAGCCTTTAAAGACTTCAGAAGAACATCTTATCAGTCATATTGTGTGGAACTAGATGGACCTGCTAAACTGTAAGGTTAGAGGAACAGTTTTGTTCCACTGACTAGGTAAAACTGTCGCCGCATTCGAAGCAATCACCATATTCATCTAACCCATTTAGAGGGACTATAATTACAACACAATACAATACTTTATTTATACACGTAACACCAAGGAGCTCCTGAGTGCTCGTTAAAACGTGTACGTGAGTATTAATGTAAAACAATGAAATTGTACAAAATGTAAAAGGATAAAATTAATCAATTAATTAATAAATACTACCTAAATACTAACTAGTAATAATCTATGTGCAAAATTTAACAACTTTAAAAATTTAAAAATCTCTTCAAGTCATATGAACATTAAGAGCCCGCTTAAAAGATACAGTGTCTTCGGACTCTCTAACCGTTGGAGGCAACGCATTCCATAGTTTACTGACTAAAAAGGTAAAAGATCTATGCATGTGCTCCAAGTTGAATGTGGGAAGTTCCAACCTGGTGCTGAGCCCATGTAAGTTATATCTAACATTCTTAAGGTTGAAAAACTTACTTTCTAATATAGGGTGCTCCGTGGCTATACAAGCACTTGTATAACATAAATAGCGACTGGAATTGCCTGCGTTGTTCCAAAGACTTGATTTTATTTTTTTTAGGAGGTAGTCGTATGAAACAGACTTCGGAAAGCCTAAGATACTTCTTAATAAATAGTAATTAGTGTTCTCCATTTTGGTAGTCTCAGCATTACCTATACCCAGCAAAAGAGGGCTGCAATACTCAAGATGTGGGAGAACATATGCCTTTTAGAGACGCATCATTACATACTTCGGAATAAACTTGCGTAGTTCCCACAAGGCCGAAGCCTTCGCGCATGCTTTTTTCAGCTGTTCCTTTATGTGCGCCTTAATGGTTAGTTTACTGTCTAAGACTACCCCTAAGATCTCAAGTGCGTCTTGCTTCTCAACCTTCACATTATTGAGATGAAATTCATATTCATATAATGACGGCCCGATGGCAACAGTTTGCGTTTTAGCGGCATCAATCTTTAAGTAATTTAATCCGAACCATCTTAATAGCACGCTGAGGTCAGAGTTAATAACACACTGCAGAACTGTCGGTGAGACATCCGAGGCATATTCCGTCGTGTCATCAGCATACAGCCTTAAGGACGCATTAGAAACGAAGTAATTAAGATCATTAATGTACATATTAAATAAGAGTGGACCTAACAAGGATCCCTGTGGTACTCCGGTTGTTACAGTTCTCCGCGGAGAATATACTCCCTCAAGTTTAACACTTTGTCTTCTACCTAAAAGATAGGCTGTCATAAGTTCCAAGGCATCATCTGTAAAACCATACGCTTTCAGTTTGGCCAGCAGAAGGCCAAACGCCCCCTATAGCATGCTCTACTGTAAATAAGAACTGATCCCGGTCGCTCCTCCATTTATTAACGATTATTTTATTTGCATGTCCGCGAGTATAATAACAAGGACATGCTCTCTTTACAATGCTTAAATGTAAAGCTCCTGCCTTTAGTCTTATTTCCATTAGAGACAGTTGTTGGGTCTTGCATTATGAAATTATCTGATGAAATATCAAATCTTGTAATGCATGAGCTTTGAATGGTGTCAACCCTTTAAGTCCCACCAGTGACTATGACAGAATTTCTCCTTACACTATCAGTACAATATCAAGCAGAAAAGTGATGAGAATAAAGAAAAATATCAATTAGGGGATTAGTGGTTGATCCAATTCCAATCTCTCCAAAATAACATCATATGAATAGTATGGCAGACAGTAAGGAGAATTACTAATGAGATCTTGGGAGTTAAAGTGTTAACCAGCAGAACTTTAATTTAATCCTTTTTGATATTTTTATGGTCTTACTAATCATCGTAATTATATTCACAACTAGCTCAGCTTATTTACCACCTCATTTAATATATTTTCCAATTACCTAAATACGTCAGCAAAAATAAACCCTTGCTTTTGTCTGTCTCGACAATCTGTGTTTGTATAATTTAAAAGAAAAGCGCAGAAAAATCTACTTTTAATGATTTAAGATCGAAAATAACTTCAAATCACTTGCTCGTTATGACTGAAATACCATAAAAACTCTTCATGCCTTTTTATATTGTCCTGGCAAGACATTCTGAAACATTCACCTCAGTGGTCTAACTGACAACGCAATACATCTCGCATTTACTCATCTCTGCTGGAAATCCAGAGATAATAAGCCTTTCTGTTGAGACAGCCGATGAAAGCAATTGTTAAAATGCAAATATTTTTTTTTACACGAAGAATAGATTAACCTCATCCATGTAGATTTGGGAACATGCCTGTTGTTTCTCCAGCTTTGTATTGCATATTGAACTAAAAGTGATGAAGGGAAAATGAGAAGAGGCATCATTTTATAAAAAAAATTAGGCTTGAGGTGAAGGTGGATTAAGTCAGCTTACGAGGTAGATTTGGCCGTCCTGCAGAAGCGAATTCTATTAAGTGAGCAGAAGTGTTTTAAAAGGTAAGTTTCCGTGAACGAGATGGCAGCCCATTTAACTGGGTTACCCACGTGTAATTCTTCAGGGTTTCCCGAATACTCTGTCTGTGTAGAGAGAGGTACTGTGAGAGGAAAAGGCATTGTCCATAAAGACAACATAACCTAGCCTCTATGACTCTTAACTAATGCATAAAGTGGATGTCAACATTATTACCCAGAAAGAGAATGATCGGCGTTTTTTTTTCTGTGATGGACTAAAAGAAATATCTGAAAGAGAAACTACTTCGCATGAAAACTATAGAAAAAGATTCTCGTTAGCTTTGGTTATTACATGAATCCAATCCAACTTAGTGTCATACAACAAAGCTTAATGAGTTGGCGCAAACAAGAGAACATGAGTTGATGTTCCGGCGACATGATAATAATGCGGTGGCGACATCAAAACATAATGTAACGCTCTTTCGTAGATATTTCTCCCTTGAATCGCAATTAAATGGATCATCATTGATATTCTGTAACGAAATGAAACCATTCCATCCATAGATAGTAGAAAAAGTAGCAGAAAAGGCTATTCCTCCGATAGAACAACCAAGACATATCGAACGCGCCGTGGGGCGTAAGGAAGCGCCCTTGAAGAATTGAAATGGACTGGGCTGTAGAGCAACCCAAAAACCGTTTGAGACCCAAAAAGCCAAGAAGACCGACACTCTGCACGTACTGATGGTGATGAACATTTTACTGGGTGTCTGACGCAGTCGAGCAGTGAAAAACAGGGGTTGTGCAAAACTAAAGTCCTAAGATGGGGAAGTTTTATTTGCGAGGCAAAGAAAAACAAAAATCCATCAAGTAAAAGACAGGTGAAATTTTTCTTCTTGCAATGAAATTTCCAGAAAATGGGAAAAAATTCGTTTGGGTCTGTCACACCACAGAAATCCGAGTTTGTACAATCATCACAGAGAAGTGTTCGCAAATGAGCCCTTTTAAGGGTAGAATGACAGGAGTAATATCATTAAACTTTTATACCTAATGTTGTGAATAATTTTTACGATGCAATTAATTAAAAAAGAAAACATCACGTAGTAACGTTTTCGTCAAAATTAAAGTTTGTAGACATTTCATGCTGTTTGTTTATTTTGAAATGGCTTTTCTCTTAATGTCTTTATTGTGTTTACCCTTGTGTGTTGCGGACCTCGAAAAAAATTAATAAGACCACATTATATTTCAAACTGATTCAAATAATTCGGTATTTTGTAGCCAGAGTTGCTTCCATTAACAACGTGTGGAAAAGAAAGATTGCGTCGTTCACCTTCGCTGACATTTAGATGCTAATTGTAAGCTCTTACAGAGAAGGGTTAGATGGATAAGGCTGGTGATTTTGAAGAAAAGAAAGCAAGGAGAAAAGAAAAATATCCTAAGGTTTTCCGGGGATTAACATTCACAGAAGCTTAATTACTGCCTATAGTAGAACCTTGCGCAGCGCATGGATTCTATTATCATTGAAACATTTGAATCCAATATTGCAAACGAATCAGCTTCTTCTCGGGTTTGAATCTAAGTGGCGTGGCCTTTATGAATCTCCATATCTGCTTGAAAAAATGAATAAACCACTGCCATTGACACGCTTGACTCTCAGGCTGGTATATTCAAATTTATATTAAATTTCGGATGAAACGTGCGTTGTCACTGATTGAAAGAGCGTGCTCTATGACAGTAAAGAGCATAGAGCTGAGCTAAAGCTGTCACGCCGTCTGCCAAATTGTACTATGTCCAATCTTTTCAGGGTCTTTTCTTTAGTTTTTTTCTTTAATTGAAAGTGAAATTTCGGAACAAGCAAGTCGGCACAATCAAACAAAGGTTTGTAAACATGCCAGGCGCCGTAACTGACGTCATAGTAAGCCTAAACACCCACTTGTTTTCGTATTTATTTCAAACGGTTGCTATCAAGGAGCGGTATGCTTACTTGAAAAACCTTCAGGCAATATTGAACTTAAACTATGAGTTCTAAACGCTTTAGATCAGTGGAAGCCGTAGGCTAACGTTTAAGATAATTTTAACGAGAAAACTCTCTGATGTCAATGAATTTAACCTGGGATACTCTCTAATTTTAGACACGGAACTGATCGACAAATTGAATGCTAATATATTAGGAAATTCGATTCACCTGTAGAATCATGGGAACAAAGTATTTACACATCTGGACTTTCGAAATCTTGTGTGAATAAAAGGTAAGCTTAAACAATTGAAAGCCTCTCTTGTGAATCTTAAGGGGAGAATACTTGTCAAGCTGTTGGGAATATTAAGTAACACTCGGGGTTGTTCCTTTCTGAAGAGCGATGAGTTCCGCAAGTAATGAAACTAATTTTACCATCGACGGAGAAAATATACACGGAGTTACACCTGAAAACATTGTTTTCGCAACGATTTACTCAATCATTGTGTTTTTTGGTGTGATTGGCAACAGTATTGTGATCGCCATCGTGTGCAAAACGCCATCAATGCATACAACAACGAACTATTTGCTGGTAAACTTAGCCCTATCCGATTTACTATCGTTGTTATTCTGTCCGGGATTTTACGATTTTTCTTTACATAAAGTAAGACTGAGTCAAACTACCGGAGATTTTATTTGCAAGGTATTTGCGGGAAACGCAGTTCTCTCTGTTACTGTTCTTGAGTCTATTTTCACCTTGACGGTCATAGCTGTGGAAAGGTACTTTTCACTTGTGAAACCATTTAACACAAATGCAAGACTTGGTAAAGGAAACGTTCGTTATGCAATCGTCGTAACGTGGGTATCAGCCTTGCTTCTATGTATACCAGGATTTTTATCGAACGACTACGATCCAGAGGCGAGAGCATATCCTTGTAATCGACCATGGACCCTCGATCGACTCACGCCATTTAAAAGAACTTATATCATTGTATTTTGCAACCTGTGTATTGTGATGCCTACAGTTGTGATTTTGTTTTGTTACTGCTCTATTTTCTATGGAATACATTTTAAAAAGAATATCTGTTGTGAAAACACCGCTGAAAGTGGGAAGGCGGAAAAATCCAAGAAACGCCTTTTAAAGTTACTTATGTCTCTCGCCGTAGCTTTTGCTGTTTGTTGTATTCCATATGCAGTGTTCTTTATTTACGTCTCCATTATCACAAAGAGTAAACTGCATCAAAACTACGGGTCTCTTCACCTTACACACCGAATGGTTCGATTTTTTCTCATTCTTAATTCATTTATTAATCCCCTTCTTTATGCAGCGCAAAGTTCTAACTACAGGCAAGGACTGAGGATAATCAGCCGACGATTTTTACAAACACGTTCAAACAGAGTAGCAGAAAATAATCAAGAACATTTAGAACTGGGTATTTAGGGGGGATTCTGTTCATTTCTCTTGCACTTGTAGAGGTGACTTCCATGTATTCTTTTGTTTTGAACATACATGCAGTTTTACGTCTGTTAATAACCGAGTTTTTATTTTATGTCAAAGCTATGCTACTTTGATCACCGAGCAAAAACCATTGCAGAGCCGATATGGTTGCTCGATATTACTCTCACGTAACCAATTTAATAAATTTATTGGTTAACGCTGATGAAGTCGATGAAATATATTGCGTGTGGAGATCAAAGAAAAAAATTATTTCCCTCTCCAGGAAGTCGTTCAAAAATACTCAAATAAAAAAGTTTAATTTTCCGCCATCTCAATGTCATTGTTATGACAAGTAAATTAATGTGGTATAGCTAAAATGACGCTTTATTTGGCTTATGGAAACAAGGTAGTGAAATGCATGGAATATTCATATTTATTAATTAATTATTCATTTGAGGGTACGTGTACGTGACGCTGTGAATCGGCAGGAGACTATTCCCAAGTACGCACTGAGGCCAAGTTCGGAGCCGGAGATTTTCATGTATGAAATAGATAAATGACAGAATACTTGACGCCTTTCGCTCGGCGATGTCGGCGCACAGTCTATCTAAGTCGAAATACTTAAAGTTGTTTCTCGCGCGAAAATTAACACTACATTGTTTTGTTTATCTGTTTTCTTTTCGAGTAGACCTGAATGGACAACACTCCAGAAATCATGAATTTTCTGATGACATATGTTGGAGCACTTTCTGCTTTACTTACTAATGTACCGGCATACTCGGCGCCTGTAATTCCATTAAAAGCAGTCTTAGTTTCAAATAATTCCTCAACGACTTTTGTGCGAAGATTGAACCTACTATTTATATCTGGCAGCCGGGATCACCTGTCCCATTAAGATATTCGTGGCGCCTCTGAGTCCTTTTACAACAGCGTCTCTTTTTTTATTGAAAAAAAAATTCAGAACATGTTTGACGATCATAAATCGAATGTTGCCTATGAATTTGCTTAAAGCGTACTTCGTGGACCGCACCAAAGAATTCATTTACATGAGCAGGGTTGAAAAATTTATCAGAAAAGTGATAAGAAGTTTGGGAAACGGTAAATCTAAAGCATTCATGTGATTCTTTCGACATCATTTCAAAATTGCGTCAATGAATATGAGATTGCGACAAAACGGTCTATTCTCTTGAAAGCATGCTGCGCAAGTGTTTGTTTAAAAAAGAAAAAAAAAAAAAAAAAGCAAAAAAAAAGCAAAAATAGAAGACTACTCACAGCTTAGTTCATGACAGAAAAGTGACAAATCACCTACTAATGCTTCGCACCAAGAAATCACTTTGTTCTTCAAGTCAAGTTTCCATTGTTTGATTTCGAAACTATTGAAAATTGTTTTGGTTTCTCCTTTGCTGTGCCTTACGATTAGCTTTTGAACCCACCTATCTACTTCATTTATATTTAAGATTCCACGATAAACCAAATTTGAATTAAAACACATATGGATACAACAAACATCAGAAGGACAAAGAAAAGAATAATGATAATAGTATTAAAAAGTAGAAATAAAGGAAAAAGGAATAGGAACCTTACGATATATTTCAGAAGTTTTAAAGATCGCAACTATGAAGCTGTTTTTATTTTTCAGCCTCATTACTCAAGGCGGTAAGAGTCAATTTGCATTTAAAAAACCAAATGAAAAACCAAACCTAAGGGCAAGTTCCTAATTTCCCAAGTTCAAAGCTGGTTTCGTGCATTTAATTTGAATTCTCATCAGTCACCTCTGATATTACCCTTATCTTAATGGGCCGATGTAATGACATGTTTTCAGTGGTTTCACCATACCTCTTCTACATGTCTACTAATTCACAGAGGTTAGAAACATTCACAGATCAAATATTAGGATGATTGGCTTCGTAACTACTTACTTTGGATCGATACCTCACCTAGAGAGAGGCTCAAACTAAGCGGGAGTCCCTCGAAGAAACAAAACACTATTGCCCCTTTGCTCGCACATTGGCTAAAAGGTAGCGGAATGACTGCCACACAGAATAGCGGTCATTAGGGAACGATGCCCATGAGAAAATTTCGTTCGAAAGCTTAAGGATAGCAAAATCAACTTGCGAATTTAGTAATCTCAGTGATCACTGGTTAACTTTAGTGATATAAGATGAGATAAATCAAGTCAGTAGTAGGAGGGATGATCACACACTACACTTAGCAAAGATTAGCGTTCTTTGACCTGTCGAAGAAAGCCAAACAGTTCTTAATTATACATTACTTGTTATTATTAAGAAATACATTGAAAAAATTCCGATAATTTTTGACGTTATTGAATCTCTTCCAATGGACGGTTGTGCGTCTCCATAAATTCGGCGGTATTGCCGGATGGCCAACTCTTGAGGAATCTTACAACTGACAGCTTAATTCAACGAAACATTATTTGCATCAGACGATTTTCTATCTTGGGTTCGACTGTTATCTCATTGTTCGCAGTTGTCAGCGGTATATTCAGTTTGCTAAAAAAACAAAAGGTGCATACTTGTGGATTTCCTCTCTGGAAATATTTCGCGACTGAGTTTAATACATATGATCTTCTTCAAGCTCCTCATCTGATGCCTCCGACCAACTGTTAATCTTAGCAGTCGTAGGGACGCTTTTCGCATGTAAACTTAGTCTGTAGTTTAGCTCACCCTAAACAGGTGTTTTGTAGTTTCGTGTTCCACAAATTTTAACTAAGTTATCGAGACTGTTAAGCAAATAGGCTTCGATTCCACTTTCGATTCGTTTCTCTTTCTTTGTCTTTCTTTCCATTCGTCAAGTAAGAATGAAATGTTTTTTCCACGAACCACACTCTTGACAAATATGTGAAAATGATCTTTCTTTATTGCGACAATCGTCTTAAACGGCTGTTTCATAATATATTCTATGTTTCTCCGCTCTGGCTCTGACTGCGGCTTCGTTTTCTGTGTTACGTGTGTTGTTTTTAAGACCAAGTTTCTGAAACAGAACTTTTCTGTAGTTTTTGCTTTGAGCAGCGTAAAGAAGAGGGTTTATGAATGAGTTAGAAAATATCAAAAAACGAACGATTCTGTGTGCCAGGAACAACGGTTTAAAACTTTGCTCTAAATGACTAGGGGCGAGTGCGGTGACATATAAAAAGAAGACAGCAAATGGAAGGCAGAGTAAGCAAAATGCCAAAGCTAACGAGATTAGAAGCTTTAAGAGCCTTTTCATGTTCCGTTTGCTAGCGGGATCTTCATCCGGTTCACCTGCGCTTGACTTAAGTGCTGCGGAACTTGAAATATAGCAAAAGCAAAGAAAAATTGAAGGGAGCACAATTAGAGCGACAGAATGGCCAAGGATGTAAGCTTTGACGTTCCAAGTCTGGTTCTTAACTGTCCATGGACGCGTGCAGGGATACCGCCGTGGCGACAATATGTCTTCGTTATTGTGCTTCGTCCATAGCGTATCTGGAAAGCTTGAAAAAGCAGCTGTGACCCAAATAACAAGAATAATAAACTTTACATTCTTTTTGGTCAGAGCCCAACGTTTGTTGAAAGGTTTGACAATACCAAGGTAGCGCTCCATTGCAATGGCACACAGAGTTAACACAGAGGCATCGAAAGAGACACAAACGATTGCATTTCCTGCAATAAACTTGCAAAAGATGTCACCCAGTGTCCCGGAACCCAATTGAAACTTGTGTAGTGCAAAGTCGTAGAAACCCGGACAAAATAACAACGTTAGAAAATCGGCTATAGCCAAGTTCATCAACAGATAGTTTGTTGTTGTGTGCATGGTTCGTGTTTTCCTTACAATGGTGATGATTATGCCATTTGCCGTGACGCCGAAGAACACGATGGAAGAGTACAATGTAGCAAAAACGACATCGTGAGTGGTGATAAGTGGAGAAGCGGTAATGTTGCTTCCGTTCATCCTGAAAATAAACTTGCGTTAGCTTTCTTTAATTAATCGAGACACTTAACCAAATATCAAAAATTTCGTTCAGCATGCGTGTGTTTGAAATGTCTTTACTATACCTTGCGTTTAGTTCACAGCAAAACCGATCGTAGGCGGATCGAGTCTTAAACAATTCTTGCGGCAGCGTTTAAAACGAACCGTGGTAAGCAAGAGGTTGTAACAAAACAAGTGAGTCGGACAGTCCCTCGAACTTTTGAGTTAAAAAAATACAGAATGGCACGGAAATTACACTTTTAAATTGGTCTGGATTTCATTTATTTGATTTACATTTTTCAACATCCCATTGTCCTTAATTTCCCGCCGAAAATTGTGCAATAAATTTTGACGTATGAGGGTCAACGGGCCGGGGTAATGGCTTTGACGGCTAGTGGTTAAAAATTTGGCTAGTTCTACGGCTTACGGTTAATAGCTTGCTATTGTTATAAAAGGAAAATTTTTAGGGGTAAAACGGCTAACAGTTGACCCCGTTTAGACCCTTATGTTTATGAAAAGATACGCATAAATCAACTTAGCGCCGATCTCTCGATTTTCCCGGTAACTTGTGATTAAAGTTGTAAGGAATCACCTCAATAATTAACCAGTTCTTCATCTTCTTAGAGTGAATTCTTGTAAATACACCACTGGCTACTGAACAAGCGAGTTATTTTTCGGCGCAGACTTAAGTCGCTAGCCATGTTAGTTGAATAGCATTAATTTCGCTCAGATGATGCATATCGGCTTATACTGATCATGAAAATTAGGAAAATTCGATATATTTTTATCTCATTATGTTTCTCATACTGAAGACTTAGCGACTGATTCTTGAGTCATTTTTTGTATTTTGAAAAACTTTGGGATGTTCTAGTAGACTTTAATTCACTTTAACTCCCCCCTCTTCACAGAGTCACGTTATTCAGATCTCACCTGTCAAATGTCAGGTCTAAAGTGAATTGATAATTTCCTTCCCGCTTAGTTCAAAACTTTATATGTAATGAGAGAGTGTTTTATTTGTGTCTCCTTTCTAAAAGCTTTTATTATTTCATTTCTTTATTGCGTGGCCATCTGCGCCTGATCCTTGTGGAAGCTGGGAATAATAAATCCTTTAAAAACATCGACGTAGGCATATGCTTCTGATTGGGTCATAATCTATTGTTTTCCGTGATGCGATCTTCGAAGAGGAAACTGCAAAAGCTTTTTGTTTGTTTAGACCGAATGTACGGAGTTTTGGCACCAATTCGCCAAACTGTAACAAACTGTAACATTTTCCCTGTTAATCGGATGACACGAAGATGATGTATTAACACTCATCTGTCACCAGTAGGATAACAGCCATTCTTATTGTTTGCTTTGCCTTGTTACAACAGCAAACTGATGATGGTGTGAAAATTGACTTGAATGTTTTTATATTTAACTGTCAAAAATTATTCGTAACTAACAACTAATGAGTAAGAGATAAGGTCCTATTCAAGTATCACACTTTGAAAATTCGTTTTTGTAAACCGGCATATTATCTATCGTTTAGAGGGGAATAATCTGGTGACATATTTTGACTCATTTACCCAGGTGAGTTGATAATTGTCAAAAATTCAAGTTAATAAATAAAATGGTAGGGAGCAAATGAAAATGGCGACTGTCACTAAGATGAGAAGGAGAGCTACTTGTTTCTTTGTCTTTCTCTCTGTTTCTGTGTCAGAAACAAAAAAGTTTGCAGATAAAATCCCCCGTGAATCCCTTTTTAGGCTGACGTTGGTAAAGCAGAGTCGTACACCCAAGGACAGAGAACGAAAGGCACGATATCAGCCTCGGCTAAATTTAAGAAGAGATAGTTTTTTGTTGTGTGCATTGAAGGGGTTCTTCGTGTTATGGTTATCACGATAGTATTACCGACAACGCCGAAAACAGCAACGAACGTGTATAAAGTAGCTAAAACAATGTCTGGCGCTGTAATGGTGCCACTATCTGTTGATCGAAGTTCTTTTGTGCTGTTACCTTTCATTTCTCTTGTCGTCTTCTTTCTCGTAAGTGACAGGTGTTTACCATAAAGAAGCTAATTTATCATAAGAATGACATCTAAACTTTCTACATGACTGTTTAAAATTAATAAATAATTCCCTTCGTTTCATGAAAGTATTTTGGGAACCTCGACTTAACGTTTGATTTTTAAGTGTCTTTTTCAAGAACTGATTGTGAAGTATGAGACTTACAATCGCATTTTTACGGGGGAGAAACTTGTAAAACAAATATCGTTTCGTCCCGCTCTGACAGGTACTGTTCGGAGGCCTCTAAATTTTCAGTAAAATTTTCTGTCACATTAAAAGATTTACAACGACATGCTGTCTTTAAAAAATACTGAAAATGTTCTACAATAACTTATTTTTGAGACGGCATTTATCAAATATCTCTCTCTATAATAATGAATGCGTGCTATTCAATTTCAATTTCAGTGACAAAAATAGTTTTTTAATTGCTTTCGTGGCTGTGTTGAACCGTTCATAAAAATGGCTGGTGATAGTTGGCAGAAGTTACACAATGAATACGTCTAATTTGTAAGAACTCTTCAGTTGTCATGCTATTCAAATTTTTAGCCATCTTTAAACACAAGAGTCCCTTAATTGCGTTTCAAGCCAGTCGAAGGTTTTAATAAAACGCCTGGAGATAATCAGATACTGATCGCACAACGCAAATGCCGTTTAGTTCTCAAAAATGCCCAATTGTTGTGATATTCTAATCTTTTCCAAAAAAAAGAGTGTTTTAATTTCTTTTCGAGAGTTTTTGAACCATAACATCGACACGGTCGGCGATAGCTGGTAAAAATCCATGTTTTAAATGCGAGTGTCGCGACCAAAGATCTGTGATGATGGTCGGAAGAATTATTCATATATCAGCTTGTCATATTTAGTGAGTCTGAGTCGAACGAAGAGCACCTGAATCTTATTTTGAATTCGAGTTGTTAGGGCAACAGTTTTACCTTTAAAGTTGTAATATGTCACCGACCTAGATGTCTGTTTCACCAAACGTTATTGTATCTCAAACTCACAGACGACTTTCTATATGTATTCAACTTAAGAAATTAGGAACCTTTTTAAGAGCGCAAAGTAAATTTGCTTTTCTTTCATTGAAGAAAGTTTGAAGTTAATGATCAAGTCGCATATGTAACTACGCTATGTTTGATACTGGTAATACGACAAAGGACAGCATTGTCTGGGACTCTGCTCGATTATTTACGTTACAGAAATAGCTGCAGAAAGCGATCTTCACCAGCAGAGTTGACCGCGCGAGTGCAGACTGTTCAGCAAGATTAAGCACAAGCGTTTGTCAATGTCACAGTAGGAAATATGGGAAGATTATACTAAAGATGAAGTCCACCATAAGGTCGATGATATATATGAGGAAATCGTATTCTGGGGAAGGAATTTATTCAAACTCCCGAGAAGAGCTGCGCGGGGAAAGAAATTTATCTCTGAAACAACAAAGTGGATCGAGTTTTGGAACTAAGATGCCATCGAGTTTAAAGATACTGCATGAAAAGTCCTCATAGTGATGCCTGCCTTACTTCTCCAGAAGCCAACATTCAAGTCAGAAGCAAAGGAACACTCCCAGTGTTTGTTAAGGCATTTGACACAATGGGAACTTGGTATATGTTATGAATTCTTTCGTGAGGGTAGTGCGACTGAAGCCAAATTGCTAACAAACCTCAAGGATCTAAATGAAGAGAAGTTAGCCAAAACCTTTGCTAAGCTTGTGCTTGAAGGAAAGATAAATACTGCTAAGAAACTCTTGGATCAACAGAGTAATAGAGGTGTATTCCCTCCATCCCAAAGCACCATAAATGAGCTAAAACGGAAACATCCAGACGCAAGGGAAGCCGATCCATCACTGTTAATTGATGACCATCCGCCGTTTGTCGACCCTGTTATGTTTGAAACAGAATCTACCATTGCAAATGCAGCCCTAAAAACAAGGGGGTCTACTGGGCCCTCTGGCTTAGATGCATATGGGTATAGGAGAATCTTGGTGCTTGCCAATACCAGAAAAGAACTAAATAACATCATCCTACAGAAGCTCTGTGAGAAGATGAACCCAGAAAAACTGAGGGAAAACGACCTGGGAATGATGAAGGGTGCCTCGAGTTATTTTGCAATTATTTCAGTTAAAGTCAGTGAGGTTGGACCTGAACAAAATGGGATTTTACGATGTGTTCAGCCTTAGTTACCACTGCTCACCAAACATCTGAACATCTCCCATCTACATGTCCTTGTGGCAAGAGATTCGACGTTGATCATGCAATGTCGCGTATGAAAGGCGGATTTGTCCATAAGAGACATGACAAGGTGCGAGGTTTGTTTGCACCTCTTCTCAAAGATGTGTGTCATGTTGTTTAAGTCAAGCCTGGCAGGAGAAGGGTTAACCAGCAGCGCCAACTCCTCTGACAAAGCTCGTTTGGATGTAAGTGCGCGCAACTTTTTGGCAAAGGGGGCAAAGTGCCTTTTTTGAAGTCAGGGTTTTTAACCCTTTCACAAAGAGCCACTTAAACCAGACACTTGACACCACTCTCTCGAGCAATGAGAACGATAAAAAAAACTATACTACAACCAGCGAGTCATTGAAGTCGCGTATGACTCCTTCAGTCCTCTCCTGCAGAGAAACCGAGCGAATTCTTTCCGAACTAGCCCTGAAGCTATCTGACAAGAAGCAGATTGATTATAGCACTGCAAATCAATGGCTGAGATAAAAACTATCTTTTAACTTGTTAAGATCAGCAGTGTTATGTGTAAAAGGTTCCAAAACAACCAAATTTTAGTTGAGCCCTGATTTTAGCATGGAAGCAATCGCAAATGTGATTGGAAAGATAGAGTAGACACGTGTTATTTGTAATTTTTTTTTCGTAAAGCACCGTGTAAAATATTTTTTACCCTTATGGGCTCTGGACATCTTTTCACAATAGATTTTTATACATGAGTTTGTGATAACTTTTATCATGCCTTGTATATTTTGATCTTTTATTGGATGATGTTTTTTCAATAAAGTTTACTTTCACGACGGCATTCAACAACAGACCAATGATGGCTTGTTTTCTCACTTACAATAGAACAGATTCCTCTAACAGGTGTTGAAAAGTTTGTATCAACGCCACTGAGCAAAATCAATTTGGGAGTAGAACGACCCAACTTTGTCATAGAATCAATCATCACTTACTATAAGCCTAA